GCCTTGTAAGTGAAACTGGAAGCGGGAGATCTGATTGGTCAATCTGGCACTCACGCCCCTGAAGTAAACATGGATGCCCCATAGGGTACCCCTGAGAGCCAAGCCCCTGAAAGCAACAGCCGTCAGCGCATGCAACCTAGCTGCTTGCATACAGCATTCTCACGCAAGGGACCGTACAGTCAGTGCCAAAATGCTTATACGGCCTGCGGGTTTTGATTGCCTGAATATGTACCTATATCGATCCTGCAGCAAAATTTCACCGGACTTGTCCTGCCATAATAAGCAACCTGGAAGCTTTCAAGCGTTGCTGGGGATCCCACGGGCCAGGTGATAATACCCCGTTTTTCTGGGCTTCGAGGCTGCAGGGCGTTGCTGGCTTGGCAAGAGACATGTCGCGCTGGGCGAGGAGGCCTGGTCTGGGACGGTCCGTCGAATTGAATGTGGGTCAAAATCAAGCGTTGGCGTTTGATCACCATCATGTTCGTGCTGTATCGAAAGACCTGTCGCGTGGTGGTATTTGGACGAATGTACGTCGAGTCAAGGTTGCAACGAAGCCTGGGATTGTAGTCCTGGTGTTAGTCGTCGAAGCCATGGCCGAAACGAGGAGGGCACTGACCAGGAGGATAGGGAAAGTCAAAGATCTCGGCGTGCTCTGGTGGGACGCGCTGCTTTGCGTGGAGTATCACCGATCGTACGTACTAGCGGCCTCAGTGTCGGTTGGTGATGGCGGTTGTTGAGAAGGTGGTGAATTGAGTCGAAGCACGGAAACGTTGTCACAGTTCTTCAATCCCGTCGAATGTCGCAGATTTGGAAGACTAGAGACGACGTGCTGATCTGGACTTTGGCGACAAGAGACCTGGGCCGTTTGGAAAAGTAGCGGACAACGGACCCGGACTGCAGTGGTTCCTTGCTGGCCGGCCCACTTTTCTCGCTTGGCCCCGCGCCAGTGGAGCCCAGCCCAGCCAGAGAATTGAAGCGGCCATGCCTTCGCCGCGTTCTTCAGTTCAGTGCCTTGCCTCGCTCCAGACCCAATCTGTGTTTGTCAGCCTTGAAGGTATTACTGCGACTCGACGAAGGCTCAAGGCTACACTCCCATCTCCCGGGGATGGTCCCGACAATCTACAAACACCACAAGCAAGCTCACCATCCCAGTCACGACATCGGCGACCAGATGTCACAGCTTCATACCCCCCAAAGCTCACACCTGGACACCATAGCCGACGCGACCCCGACGTCTACAAGTTGCCCGCTGTCGTGGCCGAGTCCGACAGGCGTGTTGGCAAAGCCAAGATACAAGAGTTTAGGCAAGATACTCGGTATTTGGTGATCCATATCACCCCGCCATGCTCAGATGATTCCCAAACGTCCGTCGGCGCCTACTGACTCCGCCCGTGATCTGCAAATTGAAGTAGTGAAAAGGGTTCAGCGACGCCTCCAAACATCAGAGTATGGACTGCCGGGCCAGAGTGGTTGGGGTACGTTCTGTCCGTGCCAAAGTCCTCAGTCGGGTCTTGTTACATTGACCACTTGACCTGGCAATGTGCTGACACGATGGCTTTGGTCAGTAGGGCAAACCCGAACGTGACGAAGCAATACCGACCGCAGAGAGCCATGTGTGGCGAATCAAGAGGAAAACAAACGTAGAGATTGGGGGGCAGAAAGACATACAAGCTGGGTCACAACAAGCGACTCTCGGTCAAGGAAAGTCAAAGAGGTGACTACAACGAAAGGGGAATGAGGGGGGAGGCGAGATGGCTTTATACCTCTCGACATCTGGTTAATGCAACTCCCTGCGTTCCAAGTCATGAGCCTCGTACTTGCACACTGATATGCTCTCTCGTTGCAGTTAGACATGCAGGCTATATACTGGATGCCTGCACCCAGCCCCAATGCACGTCTCTGGCCGGATATCCGGTTTTAGAAGCATTGACGCTCTACAGATTGTCCTGCTGCAACGTCAGTGATGAAGCGTCCTCAAGCAATATGCACGACAACCGAGTTCCTATACACCGAAGCCGTTCGTCCCTGTCAATTTACGCACACGTCTTCGACCTCAAACTTGCCGCAAAATCCTCGCACGATACAACGAACCGACCCGATCCCGAACAAAGAGTCAGCTCTTGGGCAATCGGTTGACACTGGCGGACGGCAAAGAGCAAATCCAAGAGCTGGAAACCCAAGGGACATCAGGGCCGACCTATCACGTTTTTTTTTTTTGGGATATCTGAGCAAATAGTAGTAATATATTGGAAGGAGGAAAAAGCTTGACAGATGCCATGACATTCTGCGTCTGCAGTGACTTGAGAAGACCGTTTAGCTTCCACCCGTGACTCCATGTCCCCTTCCACGACATGGTCTCACCGTCCCCCACAACGGCCTCGATCACCATACTTCCGCCCACACCATCTTACCACTTCTGCCTCTGACAAGCTTGCGACGGAGATATTTCATCCCCCACTCCTTCTTTCTCGGATATACCCCAAGGTACTCCCTTTCCTCCTCCGGCACATGCTCCCAATCGTTATACATTCGAGACAGGTTTCGCCACTCAAAACCCTCCGGTACCATTCTCTTCACTTCGTCCATTGCTGCCACGCGCAGCAAGATGCCTTGTACGCCACAGTCTTGGTTGAAGTCATTGGGCTGTCTGGGGTCAGCGTGGTGGTCGGCTTGTGCAAACCAATCCTCATACTCCTCCTTCGTCATGGCTCGGATGTAGGTCCCGTCGCTGAGCTCATCAAATCCCGTCATCTCTGTCTTGACCTCCCGATACAAGTTCATCGATCGAGGTGGTTTATACCCAACATCGAGCATGTGCGTCAACCACACCAGATCCCATTCCTCATCAACCTCGTTTTCAGTCATATTTGTCAACTCGTAATGCCACTCCGCCACATACAAATGATCCGGGTCATCAGGGCGCTCGTTGATATTTCTTATCCCCCATTTTTCCTTGGCCTTCTTTTCAATATCCTCCAAAAACTTGTTTCCCACGCCCTCAAATCCTGACGCCTCTTCTTTGGATTGCCGGCCTTGAGCTTCCCAGTACTGGGTCCTGTCCGGGCCCGCGCCCAGCTTCTCATACCCTTCGTGATCGCCTATGGCGATCAAGGCCCTCGCGCACCGAAACTTGGTCCTTTCCGTCGGCCTCATCCTCGCCATGGCCAGATACGTGCTCTGATCGGCATGGTCCGGAACCCACATGATCGTCGGCATGTCCTCCTCGGGCGTATCCTCCTTTAGCCATGAGAGATCGTTGTGCATGACAAAGCGTGCGTGGATAAATGGCAACAGGTTGATGCCCAGCTGTTTCTGGACTTCCAGTTGCTCTGGAGATGCCCACCACTTGGCAAAGAAGACCGAGTGGTAGATGCCACGCACGATGCACTGCAACTCGCCAGGAATGATAACACCAGGCCGCCGGAGACGCGAGTACCGCTCAATGTTGCTGGACCAAGCGGCCATGAGGATGAGGAGGTTCTTGTCGGCTATGGAAGCGGCGTGGGACGGGAGATCTAGCGGGAGCGGGGCGTACAAGAGCCGGAGTGTCTCTTCGGAGACGGGAATCTGGGAGGGGCGGAGAACTTTCTTGTCGAGGGAAAGGTTGCGGTCCTCGGTTATGTCGAAGATCGGGGCCGGGATGGTGTGAGGGTTGAAGAGGTTACCGGCGGGCGTGGGGTAGTTGACAAGAGTTTGGCGGGTGCATGTGTTTCCCATGAGGAAAGCACCCGGTCTGGGATCTTCCGTCCGGATCTTGAGGGCGTAGTCGTCCATGATGGAGTAACGGGCTGGTTGGCGCATGATGGACTCGTAAATGGCTTTGCTTCCTGGTGCAGAGCTATCGCGGGCTTCCTCTGCAATGGCCACTTCGGGCAAGAGATCGAGCTCATCGTACAAAGCAGTGTAGCCGGCCATGGCACACACACGTCCGATTTGATACCGGATGGCGGGCCGGGTCTCTCCATACCGGGCGAGAAGCTGCCGGAGTGTTTGCTCGCTGGGCAAATCAGGGTGCCAAAAGCAGTATGGAAATTCTTCCTCCTTCTCCACCTGCGGGAGTTTGCTGCTCATGATGGCGCGTGCGTTGAGCGCTCGGGTGATGGAAGGGAGTTTGCCGTGCAACTCAGTGGCGAAGCCGGGGTGGTGTCGAATACCGCGTATCAGACACCATTGGGCGACTTTGGAGGACAGACTGTGGGGAATGTTTTGACCGTTGAATGCAGCTTTGTTGTCGGTGCCGTCGTCAACTGGCCACTTCATGAGGGACGCACGAGAGCCTGCCATGACAGTATCACGGCCTTGAAGGAGAACTCAGATGAATGCCAAAGATGTTGGAGAATAAAGGGACAAAGGTTGTGAAAGGCAGTATGAGAGAACTAACCAGGTTTTATAGGTCTCGACTACATCGGAGAAATTAGACTGGAGGGTCGTACCCGACGCCACTGCAGGGGTCAGACACACCGAAGAGAGTCATCGGGATTGGTCAAGAGTGGAGCGTCTTTTGCGGATATCTTGACGCGATGTTGGTTCGGTTGGTCGGTTTCGCTAGCCCAGTTCAACGCCGGCAGCGTGGGGCAATGCTCAAGCAAGTCCGTGACTGTCCGTCTCGTATCTCCCGTTTTGCTAGGCGCAGGCGACTTGCTCGGTAGGGGCAGGACTGAAATAGAGCCATCGGGTGGCCTGACCATGTTGATGTGACGCCAGTAAGGCCAATCGCTCCACGCTTCTATCTGGGTACGCTGCGTCCGTATGTATATCTCTGTTGCATATTTCTATCCCTTCTTGTCTCCTGTGAGGCCGTGTTCGTTGTGGCAGTAGTGCAGTAAGGGGATCTCTTCTAACCCTAACCCAAAGCTTTTCTGCCACCAAAAAAATGCTTCCGTTACTGTACTACTGCCGGAACGAACACAGCCTGACTGATGTGGGCTAGGGTGGTGGCCTGGACAGCGGTGTCAGTATATCCATCGATGTCGGAATGGGTCGCCGTCTGCCGCCAGTGATCAATGACATGGAGGGCTAGGCGAGCGACTTCGATTGTGGTCTCTATCATGGAGTCGTTTTGTAGTCTCATTCGTAGTCTCGCTCGTAGTCTCGTTCGTAGTCCCGTTCGTGGTCTTGTTCGTGGTCTCGTTCGTGGTCTCGTTCGTGGTCTCGGTTTTCCCGTCGCTCGTGCGCTCGTCCGCGGCCTCGATGGCGGTCTCGATAGTCCGGTCGCTCGCGGTCACAAGACCCGTATGTGCCAAACTGGCATCTGGAAAGCATGTTAGCGGACGTTTGTTTGAACTTGGTGAGTTGGTTTTGCGAGTTCGGTTGATGAAGTACGACACCAGGCTTGGATTTGTGGACGTCAATGGAGAATCATGAAATGGAAGATAGGATACAGGAGATTACTACCAAAAGTGCTGTGTGTGCCGCTGAGTGGGAATACAGTTGAAAAAAACCAGAGCACGGACTGTAATCCGACATGAAAGGAAAGCGCGATGTTTGTTTGCACGCGACAAGGCTGAACCAACGAATCAAATTACATAGGGACAATCACAGGCAAAGACACTACGGAACACACTTTGAAGTGACAGGCATCAAATATTCTTATTCAATGTCTATCAAAAGTTTCGTTGAGCTAAATAGCCCTCGGCGTTTGATGAGGGTCGCTCACTGTCAGATATCACCGTCAGATGAGTCTGAAAGGAGGAGAAACTCCTCGGTGGTTTTGCGCGCTTGCTTGCGGCTCGCTTCCTTGGACCTCGCCTTATTTCCACCTGAATCGGCCTTTGGAGAGGTTTTAGGTGTACTGAACTGGCTTCAGTCAGTCATGTTCACGTTTGACGTGAACATGTTGTGTCGGTCTCGAGTTTTCAGCCTCTGAGGCCATTTCTCTCTCTTCTGCCTCTCGAGCGTTGGTCCTTTCTTGAGCTTGACGGCCCAGTTTGGCCACCCGACTCTCCCAATTTCGAAGCTCCCCCTCGGCCTTGATTACCGCGCGGAGAGCCTGGTCCTCAAGAGAGTCACCAACTGGCCCGTTGTCTGGCCGTCGGTGCTTGAACACCCATGCTGCGTATTTGATGGCGTAGTCGGCCTCGGGATCGCACCGACGGAGGAGATTCGGTGCCTTGTCCTCGGTAGAGACGAAGCTGAAAAACGACCAATCGGTACTAGGGTCGAAGTTCTGTGTTTGTTCGTTCCACACATATTGCACCAAGTTGGAAGCGTTGGACACGATGGTGGGAGGTGGGAAGGACTCGGGCTTCACAGGCGCCGGTGGTGCTTCGGCACCAGGCTCCTCTTTGACAAGGAACTCGGCGCTTTGGACTAGCCGACGGGCTTGAGCTTCCAGATACCACAACCTGGTAAGTCGGTCCACATTCGTGGTAGGGATCCAACCGGTCGCAACATTCCATTTTCCGTCGAGAAACGCGTCGATGGTCTCAGACAAGGACTTGTATTTGTTGTATACAGGGTCCCGAGAATGAAAGTGAGAGCAGCCGACATTACGACATGTATGTGTGGTCGGGTCAAACTTCTTCATCTCGTCCATTTTCTCCGCAGAGTCAACCATGCGCATGGCGTACTCTGAGGTCCATGGATAGTGGCCCCTTGTATCCCAGGATGACTTGTTGAGTTCCTCGAAAGTATTGATGTGCTCCGCATAGTGCCGGTAAGTTAGGAAAAGAGAAGGCCAGGTCGTGCCATTGGTTGCGAAGAAGGGCCTGTTGGCCCTTTTCACAAAGCATACGTCGAGAAGCCTCTCGATGTACTCCTGGATCACCTTGGGGTCCAACTGTGTTCCTGGAGCAGGTATGGGCTTCACGGGGCAATTCCAGTCAAGGAGGTGGTCGTCTGTGTTGCACAATGGACAACCATACACGAGACCCGTTTTGGGGTCTGGAATGATACACTGGGCGAGTGTGTGACCTTTTTTGCCACACAGTTTGTTGCCGCAGACAACATCTGGAACCGAGACGGAGGGAGCTTTGGCAACCTCAGCGGCCGGTTGATCGTCGTAGTCGATGGCGATTGGCTCTTCCTGGTCATGGATGATGCCCTCAACTTCGTTGCGATGTTTTTCAACAAAGAACCGTGGGACAAGCTCAAATCTCACATTGGCAACCGGGGTGTTGCTTTCCATGGCGAGCCTCTCGATTGAGTTGACCAAGGCAAGCAACGACTCGCGGTCGGTTGTTGTCTTGGCCAGGTAAGCGTTTGGCCTGCCGGAACTGGTTTGGCGTGCCATCCAATTGAAGTGAGGAGTGCTCGGGTCATTGGAGAGGCGCTCCATGTAGTCCGGCTTCCTTCTCTTCTCATTGTGGGATCTGAGGAAAACCTCGTCGTCCAAGATCAGAGGAAAGAGCTTTCCTTTCCCGTCATAGTTCGGCTTGATGGTGGGCAAGTCCGACATGGACTTACCAACCCCTTGTGTGCTTTGGTGGGCCTCAAACAAACGGCGGATCTGTTGTTGATCCGAGTTTGAAAGGGCCGGTTGGCCATGTTGAGCGCCTCCGGTGTTACGCTTCCGTTGGTGGTCTCTCCGGTCCCGAGCTGGGGCAGGCCCGTGTGGGGGAGATCTCGATCTCGAGGATCTTCCACGTTGTTTGGGAGTTTGGTCTGAGGGTTTGTCTGGCATTTTGGCAACTGTATCGCAGGCCAGTTAGCAAAATTGTATAGAGATAAAGGAGGCACGACGGTAAAGGGCAGCAAAGGGAGTGGCGAGAAGGGAGGGGGGTCCATACTGTGGTTGCGTGTTGTGTTGTGGAGAGGGAAAAAGTTCAAGAGAATCGCAGAATGTGGGAATGAGAAAGAACTGGAACGGTGCGTGCTGCCAGGGCTTGGCACAGGACCTGCATTGGGATTGCAGTCCGGATGGGAAAAAAGCTGGCGGGGCGGCAGGTACGCGGCTTCCCTACATGTGTACAGCGGCAGGAAAAAGGGAATTGGGATGGATCTCCTCTCAGGCAGACGAAACACTTCGTACTCGGGAGACAAAACTGACAAACAGACTTCCATTTCATGATATAGACTGGACGTAGCGTTTTTTCCTGTATACAAAGCGCATTGTTGGATGAAACTAAAGAGAAAGGAACATCCAAAGAAGCAATTGACATGTTCAAGGGGACTATGTAGGTCAAGTCAAACGAGTGCAAGGCACCATGATGAAATCAGCAGAGGCCGCATATGCATGGACAACAGCATCACAAAAGGATTATCACATTGCTCGTATATCAGACAAGATGAGACAAATGTGTTTGCAGATCAACGGCTTGTTGGACATTGCCCTGCAGGATGGCTCGAAGCACACCACGTTCGTTCTCGGGTACATCGTGGTTCTGCTCGGCCTCGTCGGCAAACTGAAGCACCTTATAGCGCCCACCCTGACTGAGGAAGCCGAGTAAATGTCTGATTGTAGCGATCAGGCAAGTTATCCCGAGTTACCGGGACCCGCAAGCTTCGACTCGAGCCAGTGCACGGTCAGGAAGTCGCGGAACTCTTGAAGAACGAGGTCTTGGAGTGGGGAATCGGGGGTTCGATCGGCTATATCGACGTCGTTGTTGGACATCTTGGTGAGGTTCGTGTCTTCGCTGGATATGTATAGACGATCGTGAGAAATGAAAGATGATTGTAATTACAACGGTTCCAAAACTGTGCACCGCTGTGTGGAATTCCAAGTGAAGGGACCTGGGGCACGGGACTTTCGTCCAACAGGCAAGAAAGGAAAGTGCGAGCAATCGTCTTTGCCCGCGGCAAGGCTGCTACCTCTGCCTAGAAGGCACCTACTGAAGTCCCCTTCACTTGGCTTCCATTCACTTGTCGTTGGTATACCCCGCTGAGTGCTGTTTGTATCCAGCTCCATCCCTCCACGGCCTTACCTGGGCTGATTGTTTCTCTACAATTTCCATTCCTTTTCCACTTTTACTCCAAAAGCAACCACTGCATCTTCCTTTACTCTTACATCCACGAGCAAGGAGCTTCCACAGCTTTTGGACCCGATCTACTTGGCCTTCGCAATACCTTTGCCCTGCTAGAAGCTTTTTTTTTTTTTTTTTCAGCCGTCACGGTCTCACGAAACAATCAACTCTATAAGCATCCGATCAAGACAATCCATCAAGATGACATCCCGTTCCCCCCCCCGGACTCTTGGGACCTTGCTAGCGACGACATCAAGAGACGCATTGAGTCATGCTGTCACGACATGCAGCGCGACCTGATTGAGCGCGACCAGCTTTATATGTACTACGCGGAGGCCAGAGAGGACGCTCTCGAAACACTGTACGAAATCGGCTGCCTTCCAGAAGAGGTGACTCCAAACCTTATGTCGCTTTTGCTTCACATGGTGGCCTACGAAAACCATTATCCTGGTCAGATCTTTCCCTTGCGTGACTTGGCCAGAGAGGAAATCCGAAAAGGGTTGAGGGCTGTACGTGACGGAGATCCTACCCACGAAACAGCGGCAGAGTATATGGTCTTCTACAGGACACGCAGAGAGAGAGCGCAAAGACATGATTGAGAATTCGTGTAGGTCACGTCCAACGCGCGCGAGAAGTTGGGGCAGTATGACTTGCTAACATCAACCTATGATACTACAGGCCAAATCAGATAAGAGGGAAACTGACCGTGAGGAGGAAAAGGTGGTTGATGTGTTGAAGCGGAAGCTGGAGGCAGGTGTGTTGGAAGTTGAGATTGATAAATGGGGGTTGGCAGCTGGTCACGTCTCGAATGAAACTTCAGATTTGAGCCCCTGGGCATTTTCCTTCTTTTGCTTGGGTCAGTCTTTGAGCAAGCTTGATCGCGTCATGCTATTTCTCCAAACACTTTGGCAGAAGTGTGCTACGCAGACACTCGACAAGTGCACCACTTTCACAACACCGCAACCCTTCAAAATTTGATGACCATTCTGAATCCACGGCCTTTCACTGCTATATCAAAGTCCCAACAAGTTCCTTTTGACATGCAAACTCATAAATGGCGAGTGTCTATAACCAACAGAAACGCCAAGACCTTTCTATTTTGCCGAGTATGGTAACCGAGGCTGTGCTGCTTCATACCGGCAGAGTACAAGACGAAAACTTCTAGTGAGTAAAAGACTTGGACGAAGAAAAAATCGAGGAGTTGGCCGTATTTTGAATATCACAAGGAGTTCACCGACGGAAGCTAGTGACTGTCTTAATGGGGCAGGTGCGGCATCTTTGCGAAGGAGCGCTTCATCCATGTATTGCTGACTCATCAACTCGATAGTCATCAAGACAAAAGAAGTCAAGTTGTGGACAACGGGCATTGTAATCTTCTTGAAGAGAAGCTTACTTCATCAGCCATAAGATGGAAGATGACCACCCCGACATTGTCATCTGCACCGAGATTTCCGCATCCCGCTTGGTTGCCCAGTCGCATGGTGATTGTCTGGATGGCGCGAGGGCCAAGTTGAAATCTTTGACAAGACAACAAATCTTGCTCTACTTCGACGGCAAGCTAGAACTCAAGATCAGAAGTGTTACAAAGACGCTGGGATGCGTAGACGAGTATACCCAAGGGATAATGTCAAAGGTCTCAACTATTTTGTCCAGGACGAGCCCACGTCATGTTTCTTATCGCACATCACCTTATCACCACCCAATCAAACGACCCACCAGACCCTGCCAAGGACGGGACGCTAGACTTGCCGACAGTAAGCGCAGAGAGCGGGGAACGCCCACGAGGGACCCCTCTTTTTTTTGTTAGTGAAAGTCCACTGAAGGCCTCCCGATATTGCCAGCCCGTTGCCCTGCGACCACAGCAGTCTCTTCGCCGTCATCCGCGACAATGCCCCGCACGCTGGGTTGGCGACCTTCCCGATTGATCCAGGTCCGCCGTCCTATCGCCGCCATCACTCGTCCGACAAAACCATTCTTCTCCCCGCCGGCTTCTGTCTCCCCTTTCTCCCTCACCAAAACATACCTGACCGAGTCGATCCGCGCCCACCAAGCTCGCAAAATGGCTCCCCAACTCGACAGCTACTTCCAAAAGGTGGACTCCCTGTCGGACCACTTCATCGACCGCCTGCGCCAGGCCGTCGCCATCCCCTCCATCTCGTCCGAGGCTGCCCGCCGTCCCGATGTCGTCCGCATGGGCCAGTGGCTCGCCGATGAGCTGACCAAGCTGGGCGCCACCGTCGAGCTCCGTCCTCTCGGCAAGCAGGAGGGCACCGACCTCGATCTCCCTCCCGTCGTCCTTGCCCGCTACGGCAACGACAAGAACAAGCGCACCATCCTCGTCTACGGCCACTACGACGTCCAGCCCGCCGAGAAGAGCGACGGCTGGGACACGGAGCCCTTTGACCTGACCGTCAAGGAGGACGGGCGTATGTGCGGCCGTGGTGCCACCGATGACAAGGGCCCCGTCCTGGGCTGGCTCAACGCCATTGAGGCTCACAAGGCCGCCGGCGTTGACTTCCCCGTCAACCTCCTCATGTGCTTCGAGGGCATGGAGGAGTACGGCTCGGACGGTCTCGAGGAGCTCGTCATGGCTGAGGGCAAAAAGTACTTTGCCGATGCCGACGCCGTTTGCATCAGCGACAACTACTGGCTCGGCACCGAGCGTCCCTGCCTGACCTACGGTCTCCGTGGCTGCAACTACTACAGCGTCGAGGTTTCCGGCCCCGGTGCCGATCTTCACTCTGGTGTCTTTGGCGGTACCGCCCAGGAGCCCATGACCGACCTCGTCCGCATCCTTGCCTCGCTTGTCGACACCGACGGCAAGATCCAGATCAAGGGCATTGCCGAGCAGGTCGCCCCCGTGACCCCCGAGGAGGATGGTTTGTACGACGACATTGCCTTCACCATGGAGACCCTCCACGAGTCGCTCGGTAGCAAGACCACCATCTTCGAGGACAAGAAGAAGACCCTCATGGCCCGCTGGCGCTTCCCTTCCCTGTCCATCCACGGTGTCGAGGGTGCCTTTTCCAACCCTGGAGCCAAGACCGTCATTCCCGCCAAGGTCATCGGCAAGTTCTCGATCCGCACCGTGCCCGACATGGAGATTGAGAAGACCAACCAGTGCGTGTACGATCACGTCAACGAGGTGTTCAAGAAGCTCGGCTCCAAGAACACCATGAAGGTGTATGCCCAGCACTGCGGCAAGTGGTGGAAGGCCAGCCCCAACCACTGGAACTTTGCCGCTGCTGCCAAGGCTACCGAGCGTGTCTGGGGCATGAAGCCCGATTTCACTCGCGAGGGTGGTTCCATTCCGATTACCCTGACTTTCGAGGAGGCTACTGGCAAGAACGTTCTTTTGCTGCCCATGGGCAGCTCCACCGACGGTGCTCACTCCATCAATGAGAAGCTTGACAAGAAGAACTACATTGAGGGCATCAAGCTCTTGGGTGCCTATCTGCACTACGTTGCTGAGGAGCCCATGAACGCTTAAGCGGGAGTGGTTGCGGTTGGGAGGAGTAGCAGCATGGAGTGCGGCGTCATGCGAGGACGGTCATGTAGGACACATTTCGTGTCAGTGGATGATGTTGGAAAGTAGTCAATTAGTTCAGTTCGAAATACCCATTATGTGATACCAGTTCCACACCGGGTTGAACACCTTGCGCCAATGCCTTAGACCGATTATGCCCTTATATCGTATGCCCATCCGTGCCCCAGCGCTATGAGTAAAGAAAAAAGTCAATGAACCAAGAAAACGGAAAACCCATATCAACGTTCTAGATGAAGTAGACCTTCGAAATGACCGCATACCAGCCATGAAGTGTCGAAATGATATGCCCAGAAAACTCGCTCTGGCTGGGAACACTCGCTCCATTCGTCAAGCCAAGGTCCAAATGATGATCTGATGACCACTTGACATCCATGGAAACGCTCGCCACTATGCCGGATTTCGAGCATGATGCTCAGTATCCAGCTCAGCTCCGTGAGACTACCTCTAGTAATGGCAGCCCATACTCCCACATTCTCCGACCAAAGCAAACAACTCCGGCTAACAGGTCATCCATCACGACCAAAAAAGCCCTCCCCTAGGCGGCTTCATGTTGGTCAGCTTCCCCTTGCGCCGCTTAGCCACGGTCTCGGCATCCCAGACTCCAGCAAAGATGTCATCGCATTCAGAGTCGTCGTCCGAGTCAAAGACTACCGCAGTTGGCGACACGGGTTCCTGTTCTTCAGCTTGCACCGCCGTCTCCTCCGCAGCTGCTTCCTTTTGCTTCCGTTTTCCACTCGCACCCTTGACCAACCCCCGCCTTCCATTCTTCCCCATGTCACCGACGACACCCTCCTGTTCGTCCTTGGGCGAATCCTCCCAACTCCGAAACGTGACGACCCTCGCGCACTCCAAGATGAATTTCCCGACTTTATACTTTTGTGAACTCTCCTTTGCATCCACGTACTTCCACCCCAGCTTGGTCCCGCACACGGCGCAGGTGATGTCGGCGACGGTGTGCTGGCCCGTTACCAGGCGGCGGATTTCGGGGGCTTCTGTAAAGATGTTGGGCAGTTCTGTCGTCCTGATAACAGCAGATGACGGGTGATGGGTGAATGAAGAAAAGAAGCCAGGAGACGGATGGGGGCCTGGGGCCTGGGAAGGTGCGGGTGAGACGAGATAGGCCCGGCCGTGGCGACCGTGGAAGCCTTTGCTGATGATTTGAGAAGTGAAGGCTATGTGGGACGCGCAGTGGGCGCAGCGAAGGATGTCGGGTTGGGTGGGGGAGAGACGGGTAGATGTTGGCTGAATCGGGGTGTAATCGGATGAAAAGGCGGTGGTGAATGAATCGGGAGAACTGGAAAGCGATGGGAGGCCATCGGACTCAGTGTCGTCCAGGTGGTGATGGTATGTCTGAGTGAGTGTGGTGGATGGCCTGCGTCGACGAAAGGGCAAGCTAAAACTCGGAAGGAGGTAGATGGGTTTGATTGGGCCACTATCGGCCGAAGCCGGCGAGCTGCTGGTGGTGTACAAGTTGAAAACCATGGTGTCGTTGGCCGGTGCTGTGATACCTGTACGGTATTCGAGATCTCCAAAGGCGAATTTGAGGTTACTCGACAGCAGTGAACTGAAGATCACCAAGTCGAATAGTGAAAGAACTGAACTCTTGAACAGACTCGAGCAAACAAAGGAATCCAAACTCAAACGACAAACTAAGACGCGGGAGCGATCGACACATGATATACCTACCTTTTTACAGCCGGGCATGTCCTAGGTAGGTGTCAGGTTGGAGGGGAGGGGGGGAAGGCGGTCATCCGGGCGTGTCATGCCTCGCACCTCCTTTGACACTCTGACCGTCTTCTCGACCCAATCCTCGGACCATGTCACGATTCATGAACCGTTGGCATTGAATGGTCTGTCGGTCGACTTGTCCATGTCAAGCCTTTCCCGCCTGAATCTGTTTGAAGGTCCATGTTTGCTGGATAGACGACTATGCACCAAGACCCAATGCAAATCGTCAAAGTGAAAGTGCCCAACATGATATTTGTGTCCGGTTCAGTCGGAGAGTTACACGTCTTGAAGGATCACCGAAGCCCCCCGCCCTCGGTCGAGGAGACTTGTCCTCCTTATCGATAGGCCCAGGTTGATCCCTCCGAGGAAGGGGGGTCCAGAGTGTTTCAAGGGGGGTCTCTTGTTGTCTGTTCGTTGACTTGGCGCCGAGGGCTCGTTTTGTGGTCGGTTTTGCGTTGCGTACTGATGAAATGGAGTACACTGTTTGTCGTACATCCAAGCACGCAGCTCTCGTGGACTTGGCCTGTCGTACAGAAAAGGAAAGAAAACAAAAAAAGGGCATTTCGAGATTGCGATGACACAGCAAGCGAGAACTACGGCCGTTTCGGGTGGGGAAAACATCCGAGTTGGCAGAGCACAGGCCAAGACAGGGAAACAACAAGTGAGAAAGTCCAATGCCCGGCTCAGCCAAGACTTGCAGTCAGCGAGCCAAGCGACCACGTGATGGCACAAAAAGGCAGAACTGGGCAGATTACCCCATTGTTTCCTCATTTGTAAAGTGGTGAATAAACGCAATTTGCCCCCCGAACCTCCTCACAAATCTGGTCACAGTCACAGCAGCACTTGCACGGCATTTAGACAACAAAAAGTCTCGATCCATTTCCTCCCAATTCCACCGTCCCTGACTGACCACAACAGCCAACCACACCGCCACGCCAATCCATCCCTAAAAGAAAAAAATCCCCTGCAGCCCAATTAACACCTTATCTTCATCAATTGCCCAACCCCTGCTGCTACGGTATATCTACCTATCTATCCGTCAATCACCCAACCATCCATACTACACTCGTCAACATCGACAACACCGGACCTCACCCAAGACCATCGCCTACGACCTAGTGCCATCCATCGACATCGATTTCCATCAACGACATCCGTCGTCCATCGCCCATTCTCCATCTCCTCATCAACTACCACCCCTCAAAATCATCGCAAAGCCGACAAGGTGGCATCTCTCAGCAATGGCGCCAATGAAACAGGATAATCTTTTTAGTAGTAGTAGTAATTACTACGGCGAGGACGTCGTCGCTTCGCCTCCCCACCAGATGGAGGCCGTCGACATCCTCGCCAGCTGCTACCTTGTTTCCAACTACCCGGGGGCCCAGCTCAAGGGCCTCCACTACTGCACTACCGGCGTCACAGGGGCCGAGTGGTATTCCTGAGGTCCCTTCGACGGGACTTCCATCGCCGCCATCAAGCCCCCCCCTCGCGGCCCTCGACACGTCAACCAACCAGCTGGCGGTGACTGCCAAGGCGAAGTCATCTGCTGGAAACAACAACAGACGTGCCGGGAGCAGTAATCACAACAACAGCAGGGGACGTCGAGGGGGGGCAACACTACGCATCAGGGAAGAATGTGAGAGGTTCTTTTGCGAGACATTGCGCGCCGTGCTTCTAGGTGAGAAGAACTCGGCGGTGCAGGGCTCGGGCCTGGCTAGTGTTTATCACGACAACGACAATTGCAACAACCATCCCAACCATGGTACCACAACAACCAACGGCAACAACAACAACACTCCTCTAACCCCGCCATACGACGACTATCCAATCGGGGATGAACACCTGATGAGTCGTCATGGTTTCGATGCTCGCGGTGTCGCCGGAAACGGATCGCACCGCGTCGACTCCTGGATCGAACTATGGGATTACGTGGGCGGCACCAGCTTCCGCGGGGTTGTCGCTGAGGATATGGAAACCGGGGAGAAGACGTTGATGATTTTTTTCGACGAGCAGAGCGTGGAGGGAAGGGATTTGAAGAAGGCGTATGTAGTCTCCTCCTTTGTTGTTCCTTTCCTTCCCCCTTTTCCCCTTTTCCTTCTTGTCCATCATCCACTAACAAACACACAGTCTTGTAGCCCTCATCGAACTGGCCGACGGCCCCCTCGCCTGCTCCCACATGGTCATCTGCCTCGACCGCTCCATCCCCGACCATGAAGCGGTGCCTTTGATGAAGGGGCTGCAATGGGCCGGGTTTTCCATGACGACTTTCGACTTTTGGTCTGGAGGAAAGACTTGTGACGTAGTGAGTGGGAGGTGGCTGTTTATGGGCATGGAGATGTAATCCACATGGGACAGCGACTGAATGGAAGTGTCATGTGGATGCATTGGGTAGGAAGGGGAAGAGACGGAAGGAGGAACATGGAGAATTGTGGAGGAGGGGAGGAATAACTGGCTGTGAAAAGCGGGATTTCTTTGCATCATCTCCAAAAGTCTGTTTCTTTGTTTCTGTTTCTTCCATCAGTTGTGCGTTTTCGTTACTCTTTTTTTTTCCACTTCTTCGTTGACCGGCTTCAGAGCATATGTCAGGTGCTGGATGGCATCAAGTTTGGGGAAATGACTCATCTTCTGGATTGTATGGATGGACGGTTTGTTGAACAGGGAGATTTCGATTCACTGGCTGATTGATAGGAATAACACATTATATCATGCCACGCCACGCTCCTTGACTGTGACATCGTATCTCATTTCTATATGCTATGCAAAATCGTCTATATCACTCACTCAGAGATCTCCCTCAAACTGTCTGACCACCAACCCCCTGGCCTTCAACTCCTCCTTGACCTGCTGTACTGTATACTCCCCACGGTGGAACATGCCTGCTCCCAGCGCCGCGTCCGTCGTCGTCTCCCTAAACACCTCCTCAAAGTGACCCGGGTTGCCCGCCCCCGAGCTGGCAATAACCGGTATCCTCACGGCCGCCTTGACCTGCCTGATCAACTCCAGATCAAACCCGCTGTTGGTGCCGTCCTTGTCGATGCAGTTCAACAGAATCTCGCCGCAGCCCATGGCTTCCACGGCCTGCGTGAGTTCAACCACATCCAGATCCCTCGTCTCACGCCCGCCCTTGATCGTGCAGGCGTACCAGCAGTATTCCTCGCCCTTGGGGCCGGGGTACGAAGTCTTGACGGTGTGGTGTCTCGTGGCATCGGGCTTGGGGACGTAGACGCGCTTGGGATCGACCGAGACGACAACGGCCTGGTTGCCGTAGGCTTTGCTAATCTGCTCAATCGCTGTGTTGCCAAAGAGCGTCTTGCCAGAGGCGTAGTACTCCTCGGCGGCGATGACGGCGTCGGAGCCAATGGACACCTTGTCGGCGCCCGACTGGAAGTACATGGTGGCAATTTCGAGGGCGGAGACCTTGGTGCCGTCCGTGTCGACGGTGTCGCGGATGCCGCCGCCGACGGTCAGGGGGACGAAGACGGTCTTGGACGTCAGGCGGAGGATCTCGAGCATGGGAAGGTCGGCAACGGGGCAGTCGCGGAAGGAGGTGATGTTGAGGAAGGTCACTTCGTCGGCGCCTTGCTCGTAGTACTTGCGCGCCATCTCGACGGGCTTGCCGAGATTGCGGACGTTGCGGTCGTCAGACTTTTCGCGGACGTCGTATTGGTCACCCTTGGTCACCACCAAGTCGCCCTGGTCGTTGGTGCGCACATCCAAGCAGGCAATGACACGACGGGTGAGACCCTCCTTGCTGACGAGGGCATCGTCGCCGGCGTTGGGGACCTCCTGGGGAGGGTGGGAAGCCAGAGCAGCGGCGCCAGAGCCATCGAGGAAGGCCCGGATGACGCGCAGGCCAGCAACACCCGACTTCTCAGGGTGGAACTGGGTGGCCATCACGTTGCCCTTGGCAATGGCGCCAACAAAGGTCTCGCCGCCGTAAACACCAGTAGCCACCGCCCACCCTTGCGACTCGAGCTGGCCCTTGGTGTAGGGCATCTTGTACGAGTGGACATAGTAGTATTTGGAGTCGGGGTTGAGGCCGAAGAGGTTGGGGTTGGTCGGGCACGAGGCGTCGTTCCAGCCGATATGGGGGACGGACTTGGAGGTGTCGTCGAAGCGGTCGAGCTTGCCGGGGAGGACACTCAGACCGGGGCAGTTGGGGTCTTCGGACGAGCCTTCGAAGAGAGCCTGGAGGCCGACGCAGATGCCCATGAAGGGCTTGCCGGACTCGATGTGGGCGCGGATGGGGGCCATGTAGCCGGCGGAGGCGAGCTGGGAGAGGCAGTGGCCAAAGTGGCCTACGCCAGGGAGGATGAGTTTCTACCACATGGGACAGGTTCGTGTCAGCAATTGTCAGGTCTCCGTGAAGCTATTCAGGTTGGCGCATACATCAGCATTGGCAACCTCCTCCGGCGACCGGACCCACTCGACGCTGTAGCCAACCCTCTCAATGGCATTGACCAAGCTGCGCACGTTGCCGGCGACGTAATCCAGGAGGTGAACGGTCGGCATCTTGTTTGTTTGTTGTCTGGTTTCCCCGGTTTGTCCACCTGGCAACGTGACGGGTTTTGTTCTGGGTTGCTGGTGAGTCAAGACCTGGCGCGTCAGAACCAAACAGTCAGAGTCTGAATGGAGTCACTGCAAAGTGGAAATCTCCGAGGGGTCCAGCCCCCGTCGCTGGTGATGGACGGCGGGGCATCCCATCAGTGGCTGCCCTTGTTAGCGAGCACTGTAGCAATGGGGAAGGCACTCCGCTGTTCCCGTCCTGCACGCACATGGCACTCGATTTTGCCGGTTTTGACCGCTAAAATTTCCTGGAACAGGCGCGGCGATTAGCACGAGGCAACTCGGCATCTTACTCCCTAGAGGTACGACTACCGCATCAAAGTCCGGTTTGATTGTCTGGAGTATCACAGTAATTCACCAGCCCCTCTCGCCCTTCCTCTCACAACTACCCCGATCTGCTCGGTCAGCGTGATCAAAGGACAGCGCCATGGACTCTACAGCACCCCCAGTCGAGGACGAGGACGAGTGGGAGTACGAGTACTCGACCACGGAAACAGAAGTCCGTCATCATCTCCTCGGCTTCCTGCTTGACTTTACTGACCAGACCAGACATACTATATTACCCTAGACCTCTCGGTCCGCGACTTTCTCGAGAAACACCCAGATGATATTGTCAACGCTACCCGCAATGGTTACCGAGTGTGGTACAACCCGCTGTTCAATACATCCGAACCCCGTCCGATGAACCCAGACCTTATAGCCGAACTACAAGGTCCCGATGACGAAGACGAGCCGGGAAAAGACATGCCAAACCTCGACAACTCTATCGCCGAGAACACGGCTGCCGACAACGTTGCGCCCTCGACTGCCGCTCAGAACGCCGACCCCAAGACGGACGATGTGATTGACCCAGCACTACGAGGACCAGACGAGAGCCACAACCCGAAACCCGTAGAGACGAGCAAGCAACCATCCAGCACCGAGAAACCCAAACCACCTTCCAAAACACCCCACCAAATCGAAACGATCCAAATCCTCGACCTTCACTCCAAAGAACCCATGGTGTCCTACCGCAACCACATTTTCCAGGGCTCGTGGTGCGAAAACATTGGAACAGAAATGATCTTTACACCCCACGACTCAGACGCCCCTATGCCCGCTTTGCGCAACCTTTGCGACGGAAAACTCGATTTGCTAGCCGCTAGCGCGACACGGATCAATTTCAAAGAAGTCCGGCTGGAGTCGAAGCAGATGGCGGAACAAAACAGCAACAACCTCACCAAACAACTCAGTAGCATCACGGCTTGGGGCAACGACGATATTCCCGAGCGGTACAAGCGCCCAGACGGCGTCTACGTGCACATTGGCGGAGACAAGACGGGCCAGCGACAACCACAGGCGCACTTTCTGGAGGATTTGATCATGCTGAAGCGCAAGCTGGGCGAAACCGACTCGGTCACCATCCGTCCGTTAGAGACTAGGCAGAACAAACTGATGATGGAGGACGAGGGCGAAGAGCGCAGAAGAAAACGACTAAAAAACGGACATGGGAGGTACGAGCGGTGGAGGCAGGGACTGCTTCGAAAGGACCGGGAAAGCAGGATGGCGATGGAAGAGAAGGGTTACATGCCGAGGACGGAGCCTGGACAGACGGGCAAGCACTTGGGGGTGATGGAGAAGAGGGTGCGGAGGCCGCGGGCTCGGAAAGCGGTCCTCAAGCCGCTCGAGACACAAGAGACGCTTCCGGCTCATCCCGTTGCGCCGGATGTCTTGGCTGGAGTCGAGATGCAGCAGCAGCAGCAGCAGCAGCCCCAGGACAGCTCAACGAGCTTGTATCCGCCCGTGCCGCAAACCAGCTGGGCGCCGAACCCATTGGAGTATGCCACTGGGAACGGGGACGGAAGCAGCGGGGCGGGGGGAGAAGCGTGAGGGATTGGTAGAGAGACAAGTTCCATGATGGCAGTATTGGCAAGGCGTTGGCGTTGGTTGGTTTGTAATTGGCAGCATCGGACAATCTCTCCATTGACAGGTACAGTCAGGCCAAGTGGGGGACGCATGGTGATCTGCTTGCATAAGTGAGGTATTTCATCACGTACATGTGCTGAAAACCAGGGTTTATTACACGCTCTGCCCACGCAATGGCCTGGTACTGAAAGGTATCAGGTACGTGTCGCTTAACCGCAATGGGACTGTGCCGGATGCGTGGATTGGCCTTCGATTTGTTCTGGGCGCAGGTCCGCCTTTCTTGGCTGACGTGACGCAAAGACGCAAATCCACCCGGGCATTTCCAGGTGGCCATTCCAGCAGTGTGAACCACTGGCGACCAGTGCTGACGGCACCTGATGCACCCTGAAAAAGCCACCCCACTCTGACCGGAGCGCTGTGGCACTGACACACTGAGACACTGACACTGACACACCCACACAGCACTGGGACTGCAATGATTCCTCCAGTCCCGTCTGGCCACTCACACTCGCAGTCTTGACCTTGTGGGGGAACTTGTAGGTTCTTCTTGTTCTCCGGATTCTTTTGAAAAAAAAATCCCATACCTTATTTTCCCCGATACCTCTAGTCTTCCATTTTCCGTCCTTCCCGTCGCCAATTCCCACTTGATCACTCATTCCTTGTTTGTGTGTCCTCAGTTCCACGCACCACATTGGTTGGGCGGAGGGTGCGGAGGGTTTGTTGATCCTACCTTTTTTTTCCTCTTCCGATCCATTCGTGTTTTTCCTCCTCGTCTCCCTTTCATCTTCAAAAATACCCTGGTCTGGTCTCACCTGTTGCACCACCGCCGCTTAGTCCGACACCCGGCATCCCTTCGTCCCTTGCAGGTCAGATCCATCTTGTCACCTGGCCGAGCCACGGGTGTCCTCGACCAACAATCGAATACGAATACATTTCTCCTCGACATCTATGAACACGGCCACTTTGATAGAACATCACCTTTAGTAGTCCTACTTCAACACACCTTCGCACACCATCCGCAGGTTCCGATAGACATGATTTACACCCTCCGGCGGGCGACCATTTTCGTCACCGCCCTCACCATCTTCTCCGTCTTGGTCCTAACCTTCCTCCCGCGCTACCTCAACCCTACGCCTCCCGATGCCGAAGAACGAAAGCGAGACAGACAATGGGTCAACTCCTCCCCATACTGGTTCGATCGCCAGGTCTGCCGATACCTTGGCCTATGCGGTATTCAGCACATCCGATGGGATGCGCCCACTCTGCCCGGTTGGGGTCGGGGTCCCAGCTCTGACCTCGACATGAAGGAAGAGATAGCCAAAGTGCTCGGTGTTGGTGACTGGGATGATGACGGAGCAGCAGTCTTTGTCAACAAGCCCGGCACCGAATCTTGGGAACATGCGCCAGGCCATGTCGACCTCAAGCGCAAGCGATCCGAGTCTTCCGACACGCTCCAAAAAGTCCCCCAGTACGTCCTCGATCATGCGCCGCTCGTCCACCTCTACTCGGGCGAACACTTTTGGCCTTCCGACATGGCCGAGCACGTCAAGCACATGGGCCTCCTCGACGACGAAGACGGGTCGGTGAACAGGACGGCCGAACTTGATCTGGGGAGTCTCGCTAGGCTCAACGCCAAGAACGGCACCGTCTTTCTGACGAGCATGGATGATGTGGAATCCAGGCCCGAGTGGCTCCACAACCGAGCCGGGATCCCCGTCGAGTATGAGGATGACGATGGCGATGATGAGCACGACGGAAACCCCGACAAGAAAATCCCCGGAAACAACCCGACTGTGCCTACGGACGGAAACACGTGGTGGGACGCCGACAAACAGCACCCGCCGAACCGGATCGTCGCTCCTCGGTATCGCAAGGGCGGTCCTTCATGGCGTCGCGAGAAGCGCTTCATGCAGGGTGACGATGAGCCGCAGCGTCCCATTGGCGGCACCCCTTCCGACGGAGACAAGAACAAGCCCAACCCGAGCGGTTATTCCAATGGCCCCGCCGTGCTCATCCTTGTCGACAAAGGGGCCGGCATTCTGGACGCCTTCTGGTTCTTCTTTTACTCGTACAATCTGGGGCAAACCGTGCTGGGCATCCGCTTCGGCAACCACGTTGGCGACTGGGAGCACTGCATGGTGCGCTTCGATAACGGGATCCCGAAAGCCATGTTTTTGTCCGAGCACGCCGGCGGAAAGGCCTACGCTTGGCCTGCTTTGGAGAAAAAGGCTCAGCCCAACGGCAAACCACCCCGCCCGGTGGTTTATTCGGCGGTAGGGAGTCACGCCATGTATGCCACGCCTGGATTGCACCCCTACGTCTTGCCGTTCAAGCTTCTGAAGGACGTGACCGACCGCGGTCCTCTCTGGGACCCTGCTCTCAACCACTACAGCTATTGGTACGACTACGAGGCCGGGCTGAACGAAACCGAGTCACCCTCATCCCCTCAGTCGCCCTACCTTGGCAACCCTTCCGATCCTCCAAAGGAGTACACCTCCCTGGTCCCCGCGGCGGATAATCCAAAGGCTCCAACAAGCTGGTTCCACTTTGAAGGAGCGTGGGGTGATGACGTCTATAGTCTGGCGGACTATAGGCAGTGGAGGCTGTTTGGCGAGTATCACTACATTGTCGGACCGCTGGGGCCCAAATTCAAATACTTGGAGAGGAGGAAGGTGTGCCAGACAGACAAGTGTACGATGCTGTGGAGCATTGAGGACGGGGAGAAGAGCAGTTGGTATTGATGGCGAGGATTGCATGAGTCTTTTGGATGTGCGCGGCAGTAGAAGGAGTTGGTTTTGCGTTGCTTCATTTTTTTTTTTTTCTTTTCTCTCTTGGTTATTGCGTTGCTGCTTTTTTTTGCGACATGATTGATACCTCTACGATACCCACTGCTCACTTGCATGGAAAGCATGGAAGAAGAACTGTTTACACATACAGCATTGGTCTCATGGCCTATACAAGGAGTTGACGATGATGGCGATCCATGTCGGACACTGATCGGCACGGCATTTGATGGCCCGCCCTGTGGGCACGAGGCGTCTAGATACGGCGATGACATGATAGAGCATGATGTTGACTTTGACGGTGACAGGCGAGAAGTTTATACATTGTTGAATTTACTGCACTCGTTTGTCTATTTGTCCCGGCTGCTTCCGTTTCCATCTCCATGCCCCGTCCCGTTTGACGTACGTCGTTTCCCTTCAACCCTCTGTCAATCTGTCAACCTGTCATGTTCAACGCCATACTTAGATGCGTGTCACCACACCTGGAGCCTTGAGCAAGACGTGTTCGGAGCAGTCATCTCGCGCCGTCCTGATCCCGATTGAGCGGATGAGGAAGGACTTGTCGGGTTGACATCTACGCCACTTGTTTCATACGTGATTTTTCTTCCAATCATACAAAAGCCATCACTCGTCTTTTCCTGATGTTGCTCGACGGCTTTCGCGCGGAGACTTGCCCATTGGTCGTCCGTTGTGCGCCTCCTTGGCGAAGTCCGGATTTTGGCGTTGTGGATGGAGGGGGTCCTCCAATTCCAGTTACCGGGTCAGTTATCCCGCTATCAGTCACCCTGCCAGCTTTGCGCAAGATGCGTTAGGGCGACATCTCAGTCTGAACTGGGCTCGTCGAGTTACTGATGGACCAGGACACGCCCCGCGACATCGATCCAGTTTAGCGTCATTGATCTGGCGTTGGTTTGTTCTATTTTTCCCGCGACATTTTGGCCAGCACTGCTCTTCAATTCTAGACCACTTTCTTCCAACTAGCACAGCATCGGAAATTCTCAGCGGCGACACAAAGAAGACGAGTCAAGACAGTCAAGCAAAGCAGTCATCACCAAAATCACCATGCAAAACAATCAAGTAATGTTTGACTCTTTTTATTCATTCACTCCAAACCAATCCTAGCCAACAGTTCGAGTAAACGGCCTGGCCAAGACCCTCGAACAAGATCCGTTCCAAGCTGGAAAGATCTCGCGAAAAAGAAGCAGAGAGGGAAACTAGTATCTACATGCCCAATCCTTCCAAAAATGTGCATCCAGAAAAAGAATCCCTCATTTTTTCTGAGCGAGAGATTTGTGAACCAGAGCCTTCAAATCTGGTCACTACCTCGACTCATCATCCATCCATCCATTTCCTTCATCCATCATATCATTCCAATCATCAACCGTTATGCGATGCGCATCCTACTCAGACTGCGTCTCTTTCTCTTGACTTGGGTAAAGGGGGAAAAAGAAAGAAAAAACCCGCTTAAGAAGCGGAGGGGTTGCCGTTGAAGGCAAGCTTGTTGACGGTGCCAGAGGGAATGCCAGAGATGACGCCGGAGTTGGCGGTGCTGGCAATGTAGGAGCAGAGAGCAGCGGGGGACTTCTTGCCGAGGAGGGTGAGGAGGTAGGCGCCGAGACCGGTGATGTGGGGAGTGGCCATGGAAGTGCCCGAGATAGTGTTCTTGGCGGTGGTGGAGCCGATCCAGGCCGAGGTGATGGAAGTACCCGGGGCGAAGATGTCGACAATGGTGCCGTAGTTGGAGTAGTAGGCAATGGCATCAGCCGAGGTGGTGGCGCCGACAGTGCAGACGGTGGGCTCGGAAGCGGGCGAGTAGTTGGCGGCGTTGGCACCGTCGTTGCCGGCGGCGACAGCGAGGAAGACACCGGCCCGGACCATGGCGGCAGCGGCGCTGTTGGTGGAGGCCGAGTAGCCGCCGCCGAGGGACATGTTGGCGACGGTGCCGTTGGGGCAGTTGCGGCTCTGCGCGTCCTGGGCGACAAAGTTCATGCCGGCAATGACACCCGAGTTGCTGCCGGACCCGTTGGAGTCGAGCACCTTGACGGCGTAGAGATTCGTCTTCTTGGCCACACCATACGTGGTTCCTCCAACCGTACCGGCTACGTGCGTGCCATGGCCATTTCCGTCCGAGTTGATGCCATCGCCGGCGTAGTTGGCGAGCCAGGTAGCGCGGCCACCAAAGTCGCTGTGGGCGGTGTTGATACCGGTGTCGATGATGTAGGCGCAGGTTCCGGCACCAGCGGAGCTGTCGTAGACATAGGTGGTCTTGCCCTTGGTCTTGGAGGAAAGACGGGCGAGACCCCACGAGGGGACGGAGGACTGGGAGGTGTAGGTGTTGATGGTGAAGACGGCCTCCTGCTCGACGTACTCGACCTGTTGGGTGTTAGAGATGCTGGCTGGCTAATACTCGACAGCGGGGGACAGAAGGCTTACCTCGGGGATGGAGCGGATCTCATCAAGGGTCTTGTCGTCGATGCGGCCGGCGAAGCCACGGAAGGCGTGCTTGTAGACGTGGTCGGCCTTGCTGTTGCCGAGCTTCTTCACGGCCTTGTCGAGGTCGTCGTCGGAAGCAGTCTCGCGGAGCTTGACAATGTACTTGCCGGGGACAGCCTGGGTTCCGGCGCGGGCCTCGAGGATGGGAGCGCGCTTGTCAATGGGCGCCGAGGGGGCGGCCATGGCCAGAGGCAGGAGAGCGAGGACAGCGGACAGCTTCATGTTTGCTGGTGTTTGAAAGGCCGGGAACCGTTGAGAGGATGGAAGACGAGAAGGAAGGATTGAAGGAAGGCTGGATGGTTGGAGTGATGAGGAGATTGAGTCGGAAACGGGGGATGATCTGGATGATATTTATCCTCGACTTTTGCCACCAGATGCCCTCCTCCTCCTCCTCCTCAAGTCCCCTCCATCGTGATGCTCCAACGACCTTCCGAAACAAGAGAAGCCGCTCTTGTTGATACTGGGCGTTGGATGGAGGTGCTGACAGAATGTCGATCCGCAGACGCAGAGCCGGATCATGAAGTCTCGGCGTCGCGGCGCGTAACTTCGATCTCGGCAGGACGACAATCACCCACCTTCCGGGTTGGGATTTACAGCCGTCCAGCATCGATACTACCCTCTGGTCTCCAGCAAGAACCCACACGTGAGAACGGGCCCTCCCGAGTTGTCAGTCTGTTCGAGTCAGCAAAGCAAGAGATGCCGATCCAAACTCGACATGGACGACATGATTGGACTGGCCGAGAGCGGGAGATTCGAGAGGTACCTGACATTTCGGGAATGGTGTTGGAGCATCACATCAAGGATTCTTCGGTTCCTGGACCAACAGCAGCAGTCCCTCACGGCCGGCGACTGTCATTGGGCGTGCTTCAAGTTTGGCAAGTCGTGGTCGATATTGGACTGGACTCTTGTCTCGACGTTATCGCCGACCAAGCCAAATTCACCTAGAGACATGGCATCAATGCACAGACGAGCAGGCTAAAAAGAGCAAGTGTCTTTGAAGCCAAGCAACGGCTGTGATAGGTATGGACAACTGGAGGACACCGAACCGGAAGCTGGTTGAATTATCGAACTTTTGGGAGGGTGGCATTCTCAAAGAACCTGGTCATGCTTGCCGTATCTCGATGCCACCCTTGGCCAGGGTTCGACTGGGACCTTGAACAGGGTGTGGCAATGGCGCGATCGGCTACAAGGGCATTGCAATGGCCCCCACCCCCGGCCGGCCCGCTTCAGCAAATCGATAGTGCGGGAGTTGGTTGTGTCCTGAGTAAGTCCTTCCCCAGTTCTTTGGACCTCAAGTGCCGGCAGTCCACCATCTGAGCGTCTCCGGGGAAGATGCTAAAATGCCGTAGGCTGCAAGAAGCAATGTGAGTGTTGGAGATATCGTCATCTGCATCCCAACATCGAGACAGTCTCATACGCACGTGGTACAGAGAGGCTTTATCACAGCCAAGGCACGCCTACAGAACTGATAATGGGGTGAGACAATCCCGAGGGTCTCACTATGGTGTTCCTGTTCCTGTCGAGCCTGTGTCTCTTGGGTGCAGCGAGCCAAGTTATCGCTGTGGTATTTTTGATTGCTACCGTGCAATGTCCTCTTCAATTTCTGAAAGGCCGTTTACCGTCCACTAACACGCACTTCTTGATAGATTCGCCCAAAACAGAATCCCGAGGTGAACGACGATCACAGTCTGGAAACGCAGCGTACTGCGAAGTGGCAAAAACAGCCTTGTTCCTGCAGAAAAACCACATCCCGGGCATTCATGTCAGCCCAGGTGTGAACGATGATGGATATGGACCAGTCCTTGGCATCGACGAGGCCGTCAACGCCGCCCTTGTGCAATTTCTATGCTGTCTCACATTCTTTTGCCCCGAAGTTAATCAAAGTATCCAACGACATGCTGTAAAACATGAGATGCCTATACACTACCATTCGGGCGATCTGTGATAGAAGGGCCTTGGGGGAGACTATTGATGCGGGAGTGTCTCAATGTGTTCGATTTCGTCGAATCTTCGAACGGGGTTGACTATTTGCCCGGTCTCGGGCCACTCCAGTCCAATTTCGTGCTTGACCAATCCCTCCTCTGCACCAGACCGTGGTTGTACACACGGCACCAAGATGGATGCCAACGCCAATGGGGACGGAGTGGATGGCTGGGCAAACTGGGGCATGAAGCTAAAAGCTGCCAAGCAAAGACAGGGACAAGGAGTCATGCAAAGTGCGAACTGGTTGACTTCTTGCTCGATTTGCCTTCCTGAACGGGAAATGGGGAGTTTTATTCGCCCAAGTCGCGATATCGTCACTTTCAAGCGTCAAAACTCGGCCTCTTCCTTCCCCGTTCACAACGCGGGGCCGCCGGCGTTTACGACTCTTGCCAGCAGGCACTTTGCACATGCCGCCCGCGCAGTTCGCCGTTCCCCATCCTGCCCTGTTGCTTCTGTCATGCTTCTTCTGTCTCAACTTGCATGCCCGGCGCTAGTAGCTTGTTGTTTTGGTGATGCAAGTGCAAGGTCCCCGCTGTGGAGAGCCCCAGTGGCCTTGAGGAGCTGCCGAATCCGGCTGGGCTCGACGACCGTTACACTGGAGTTCACGTAGCAACCCACCTCAGGTCAACGAGCACTTGACTCACAATCATTTCGATTTTATTTTCCAACGCGGACGCTGTTTTCATGGTGCTGATGCTGGGACGTTTGTGTAACTGGAAACGGGAATCGACTTATCGCGAATTCATTTACAAACGATACGAGAAAACCCGGCTGGTGGTGTCGCTGTAATAACGGGATCGAAACCCATGATACGGACAGCCGTCGATGGGTGTCCGGTGGACATCTCATATGCAATCCTCTCATCTTCTTTACCAAGCCCCCACAGTCTTGGCCGTTCCGTGCGTGCCTTTTCACTCAAGTGAGCTGATTGCCTCAACCATCGTCTCTTCCATCACTGCCACTCGAACGAGGATGAATGAGGCAAGTCCTTTCGCTCTTCCAACGCTCACGACATGGCGTGATCGGTGTCGCATATGGTCACGATTCACGCGTTCAAGTCGACAAAATCCAGCTTCTGTATACGGACAGAGTCACAGACAAGAGGCTCAAAGTCATCAAGGTTCTTGCGCTTGAGGGGTAGGCACCTATGTTGCATCACTACAACCTCTAGGCATCCCGCGCTCTGGTGACATCCACGGGGGGGGGGGCAGACCAAGCAAGAGATTGTCGCCACGGCAACAGACTGAAGAGGGACGGGAGACCCAAGACCCAAATCCAGCTTCCCTTTCTAGCTGGAGTCTGGTCCAGACCAGACTACACCTATCTGGCCCAGAGATGCATAGTTGCATCTACAATCATGGGCGACCAATAGGCTGGGCATGCTATAGCCATGGGCAGCGATCGCGTACCTGACGCTGAGTTTCTTGGGGAAATCAAGCCTGCCCTCGGCAAGAAGCCACAAAGCCACATTTTGAGCATGTGATTCCTAGGTACCTACAGGAGGTACCCATCTACTTTCCCTCTTTGTGAAAGAGCAGTTCTATACCTCAGATTATGGCAAATCATGACGTAAATGGCACGGCTGGATGGTAATTATAGGCCAATGTCTCTCCTTGTACTGCTTGCAGCCTGGCTGCCGTGATTCGTGAGAGGTTTTGTGAATTATTGATGTGGCTGCGGTATCGAAACTCTTCTTGGGGGAGGTGCCTGGACGGAGTTATGGATTCAAGTGACACAGACGTTCAGCTAGAGTGGACAGCCACATGGCGACGTGTTGGCCCCCACGGAGGGAGTGGTGGACGTGGCGGACGTGGCGGGCATGGTGTCAGGGTAGGTACTCGGTCGAGTTACGCGCGAACTGTTGCTGAGTGGAGGATGTGGCTGCTTTGTGTCACCTTGGGGCTTGATATTTTGGGGAGGCGTTGACATTGGCTTTAGGCACCTCTTTGAAGTTGCAAAGTGTTTCTGGCTCCGCATGTTGTCATCGCCATACGTTGGGTGAGCCACAAGTTGAAGTTTGGATGAGTAAGGCAAGTCTGGCAAAGCGAGGGAGCCCATTGAAGACTCGTGAGTGTAAGCCTCTTTGAAGTGAACGACGTCTCGAGCATTTGATGCGGTCCGATGGAGAACCCGAGTGTCTGATGCTCCATCTTGCCTCTTCGTGAAGTGCAGTCGTGTCAGAAGCCCAAGTGACCCGGCATCTTCAGCCTACGAATCAGACAAAGGGGAATGATACACCTATGAGGATATCTGGATGTGAATTCCCTCCGGTGATAGTGGCTTACTGTTTGCTCCATTGGACTCATACACTCAGGTGAGCCTGACAGGTTCTTCGGTGAAGAGATTCATGTTCCAGTCGACTGTCATCTTTGTTGAGGCAACATGAAGTTCAATTTCAGGCCATGTAAACGATGAGATGTCCCAACTCGATCACGGATCTTTACGATCCGTCAAGGAGTTAGGTTCTGCTGAAATTATTGGGTCTACCGAGATACAGCAACTTTCACATCTCTGTTGATGACCTCACATCAATTTCTGTGGTTCAAAGTACACAAATGTACAAGGTTTCTCAAAATTACAAAAGCTGACCATTGAAGGAAATGCCAGACTTGCACATGACATTTGACCATCTCAAATGCACGAAAAGAAGAAGATAAAACATACAAAAAGAGGTCAGAAAAAAGGAACGAGTTGCCAGACAAGAAATGACATGGAAAAAAAGGCGAAAAAAAGAATTTATCGATGGTCATCGTGCGACGTGGGCCTGATTCGAACAGACGCTCCCGAAGGAACAAGATTTCTAGTCTTGCGCATTAGACCACTCTGCCACCACGCCGAGTGATTATGTTGAAAATTAATAAGACATCTACCACTCATATGCGCAGGATGTATGCACAGACCATTAGCAAGCCAGGACCTTCCACCATCGCTTCCTTTCCCTTTCCCACACGGGACGAACCCTTCCATCAACATCGCACCCACGTCGGCCCAGCACCTGACGCCCCAAATGACCACGATATCGACAAAGGAGGCGCGACCACCAAATCCGCTATGCCCCCCGCCGCGCTCGATATTGAACTGAGCCGCAATGCGATTCGTATTTTTCGAATCAAGGGACGGATTCATGTCTACGGCCGATCTCAGGAATCGTTACTGCGGGGGAACTGGACTAGGTGGATTCGGACTTGGGCATCGCGACCGTGCCCCAGAATGAGGGCATTCCCAATTCCCAGGATATCGCTGCCTGGCGTTCATTGATGCTTCACCTTGACAACACCCAAACACTCGGACTTACACAACATGAAGGAACATGAGACGCACATCCTATTGGACCC